AAACATCATTATGTTCTTTTTTTTTTAGGAAGCTCAAGCTGCTCTTTTGGCCTCCAGTGCCCAACCTTGAAAAAGTTCTTCAGGGCTTCCTGACAGACATCAACCAGCAGAAATGGGTAAAATATTTAGTGGCAGGATTTAAAGTTTAAAGTAATCATAAGCAATCATAGACAAAACAACAAATAAAAACAAAATGGTAGCACAAAATAATACAGTGTGTACTTTCCCAGAACTTAAGTCATTTCCAGAACTTACCATCCACCTTTATGAAAATTTCATGAAACAAAGTGGTTGCTTTCCTTCAGCTTATAAGTTACTTTGTAAGACATTTCCGATACTTTACTGAATAGTCCAGAAAGTAACTCCTAATGTTTCCAGGAAAGAAACTGGGAAACCCAGAAAAAAAATACAAGTAAATTCTATGTTCTATGAAAGAAGAAGCTCCACTAAATAAAAAAAATGTTGCTAGAGCAGCTGTCACTGTGAGACATGTTTTAAATAAAAGTCCACCACTTTGTAAAACTCATAATTCATTTAACATTGCTCTCATTTTGTTAAAATCCTCGAGGAATAAAACCCAAATGATCGTCTTGTTTTGTCTCCCCACATGTTCACCACTACAAAAAACAAATGTTCATAGTTCATCCTAAAATAAGTAGAAATGTATAATAAATGTTAACAGAATTAATACATTTAAAGCTGAATGACTAAATAAATTCTGAGTTACTCACCATGAATTAATGAACTCACCTTACAGAATCCTCCAGTCACATCGAAGCTGTGTTTTGAAGAAACAACCTCCTCTGTAGTGGAGATCATGTCTGATGAGCTTCCAGTCCTTGACAATCCTTCTGAAGAACTCAACTTCCTCTCCTCTGATGGAAGCTTTTCCTTTGAGAAACAGGCAGATGGGAGTTCTGGGAGCGAAACCCTCAGAGACTATGTCACTCTGAACAAAGATCTGTCCGTTCTCTGCCTTAAGCAAAACTGTTATGTCTATGAGCAATTTAAAGATGGAAAAGATCCTGAGAAAGGAGATAACCTTTCTACAACATGCCACTGTCTTAAGCCTTGTTCGTGCAGCAACTATTTTAACCATTCTTACCTACCTTTGTCTCAGTCTACAGATGGCTTGAATAAAAACATCAATGTTGGACATGATAAAAGTAACCCTTATACTAACCTTTTCCTCGACTAAACATGCAACACAAGTGTGCCTCCAACTTAAGTTCTCTGTACAAAAGTGATCAATTCACATAGATTACTGGATATAGTTTCAGTAAAATCTACATTTGAAAAAGAATTAAAAACTAGAAAGGTGATAATAAAAATGAAAAGGAATATTGCTATATTACTACGGATATATAGAAAAAAGCTTGAAATGTTTATTATAACCGTTGTAACAATAAGTGCTGTTATAAATGCTCTTTTTTATGCAGTTATTTTTGGAGTATATTGGATTATGCTGAACATATAACAGTTCTTATATTTTTCATGTAACATTAAGTTTAAGTATTAGCAACTAACTTTACATTCAGTTGTATGGGACAGTATAATTGTATTTTTTTTTTACTATTTGTAGTTCTGTTTAGTAATCCATTACTTACTTGCTTCAGAGCTTGAATACTTACAATATAAACATGTAAATGTTTAAGAATAATAAATTTTAAATTTCTTTTTAAAAATTAAAGGCTGTCAGGGTACTTAGAGAGAAAAATCTTGCAAATTCTTTGATAAGTATAGAAAAATAAAACAGAAGTAATATAATAATAATAATCTAGGTGTTTTTATGTTGTTTGTTGTTGTTTTATTATTGTATTTTAATTGTATCAGGCAGTTTTGGGGAATGCAAAGTTAGACTTTGTGCTATAACCTCATACAGTGCATCTCTTCTCTTGTGGTTAATGTGTACTGTATATTTTCGCTGTTTTAAATAAAGTAAATCGTAAATCTGGAAAAGTATGAAACATTGTGCACATTGCGCAGGGACCTTGTACTTTGTTCTGTAGTTCTTGTTTAATACCACAAGGTGGCAGCACACATCAACATGCCGATGTGTGCAGCCACAATGAGGGACGTCGAGGGACCACGGACTGAATCTGGACCAAAAACATAAACTCACATTTTCTCAGGCCTTGTGATCTTGTTAACTTTTTGCACACTCATATGAGATATGAGGATTGAGATGCCATTATTTGTTTTAAAAGAAGTTTCTACTCTAAGGTTAATAAATGACTCACAACACAGATGAAAGCTAATGTTGATTTATTCATAAAATAAAAGGAAAAGGCTCAAGTATAGAGGAGTTCGACAGTTTGAATTAAAACCAAAACACCTGAGATGGAACAATAACACCTTAACAACTAGGAGTGGATGTAAACCCTACATGTTTGACGTTTTAACAGCTTTAAAATATTTTTTTATCTGAGCCCAAACTTAGATAATTTTGCAATTTAGCTGAATTAGTTCAGAATTACAGTCTAAGTATGGAGGATCATTATACTGTAGCTAAGGCATCAGAAGAAAACTATCCAGTCCAACTACTGTTTGCTATCACACCAGCAGCAGATCAGCACCGTCTGCCAAGGCGTATGATGTCACATTGATAAAGTAGCCCCGCGTTGTCCATGAGGCGTTAGGAGAAAGGTGGGAGACAGAATGTGTTCAAAGTGAGACAGGCAACAGAAGAAGAAAATTTAAAAGGGCCAGTGTTTACTCCCCAAGCTGCTTTTCCTCCCGACATGAATTCTTTCCATGTTTCATCACTGCCCACTTGCCCATACGCTAATGTCTATGGGGGGAGGTTGAGTCACCTCTTGATGTCATTTCCTCAACTTTCACAGACAATCACACCGAGAACCAGAGCTGCCTCAGATGTGATGGACATGCAGGGTTATTATAGAACATGTGTTTGTATTTATCGTGTTGTCATGTTTACAGGCCTCAAACACGAATTCACCAACAACGGAAATGAAGCTACTTAAGCAGCAGCAACATAAGGTTGGCTTCTGCTGGAAGCTCATCACACGACTGTGGTTAACTGGTTCTGAAAACTGACTGCAATCACATTTGGTCCTGTTGAATTTTGTGCTGCAGAGAGTGCTGACAGGATGGCATACATCAGTTTCTGAAGGAAAAACTGCCAAACAAGAATAACAAACATCCAGTGTAATCAAAAACACAGGCAGAACTAATGATGTTGGAGAAAGTGCAGCAACCTCAGAGTCGTTCAGTGGGAGAAAAGTCATTGATTTTCCACAAAGGCACTGGCAGAAGTAGGAAGGAAGGTTGTGTTGGTTTCAATAAAAACATACAGTGCCTTAAAAAGTATTTTCTACATTTTGTCATGTCAAACCACAAATGTTAATGTATGTACCTTGTATTTTATGTGATATTTTACCACAAAGCAATGCATGAATATCTATCTCAGTCAGCTTTTATTCCAGTATTGCCCTGCCTTAAACTATGGTCATATTTCCCATCATCTCTTACCAGCTCCTGCTGATAAAAAGCAACTTAACAGTATGACGATGACAACACTTTGTTTCAAAGTGGAAATGGTTTGTTCAACTAAGAAAAGAGGTTTTCAAAGGTTGGCATAGGGTTGTATAATCTAACCCTGGAGTAAACGTCTCCGCATTTTATCCCACCACACAATGATTGTGTTTTTTGGTCTTCATGATTGTTTGTCTAATATCAGATCTTTAAGGAACAACTGCATTAATATTGAAATGTAATCCCACAAACGTGGCACTATTAACTAAGTAGTTTACTTCTAAAGGCGGTTGGTTGCTGCAGTTGCTATTTGGCGGTATCAGACTTCTGTTGTTCTATTACATGAAGTGAAATACAATATCTGTGGTTTTAACATGATTAAAATGTAAAACATAGTTGAATGTGTGTGATTTCTTATGCAAGGCACTACATTCATGACCTATGCATGGTTGGTACAGTATTTTTTAATTAGTCTTTTCTTTTTTGCAACAAATATGCTGAAACTGTTGGTGGTTGTGTAGTATTAGATAGCAAACTGGATTTTAACGAGCAATTTGTTTAAGCAAGTTATTAAAAGTAAGAGTGCTAATGGATTTTGAAGGGCAGAAATTTAAACATTAAAACAGGAATGGATTTAAAAAAAAGATTACAATCATCATACCAAAAGACTTTTCAAGCTTTTTGCTACATTGTCATTTTTAAACATATTTATGTATTTTCAGAATTAGATTCAGCACCAAGTGTATGGAAACAGTCAGAATTTTGCTGTGAATGGGTAATAAAAGTGAAACTTTAGGTGACAGTTCTAGTTGAACTGGTTTCTTTGATATTGGTCCAGAATACATTTCTTTAAAAATGTAAGTTTACTCACACTATGTAGGCACAAGATCACACAAAAGGTAAATCACAGTCAAAATGGTGCATGTAAACAATATAGCCTAACTCTATACACATCTTCTTTTAGATCTGCAGAACAATGTTATTAATATTTCAGCTTACAATGACAAAATAGGAATCTATTGAATCTGTGTTAATTTCATTGAGCTTCTCTGTGAGTCATAAACACTGAATGGTATTCACAGATTAGTCAATACATAAGCTATGAATCTTCATAAGGTTCAAGGATGTAAATCAACATGGCACATACATCCCTCTACTGATTTTAAACAATATCTAACATTAGAAGAGACAGCTGTTTTGGTCCTGTTGTTCACTTTTAACATATTGAACAGTGTCGGTTTTAAATTTTAGGGCAAAATAGCTCGATTATCAATCCTGATTTCTTTAAAAAGATGTTGGTAACCTGATGCTTTATGTTTATCATCTAAACTACTCTCACATTTTAACTCGTCTTATTCTAATTTCAGTGTACTGGAGAGATGACCTGATGGTTCCCTTTAGATTTTATGTAATAGAAATTACTGAAAGTGCTCATCTCTCCTCTAACTTGCTCTTTTTGTTCAACATTAAGCTGTATACCAGCTGCAGTGCTTGATTAGCATGCACTGAAAGATCACTTTTCAACATGCTCAGATGTTTGGATTCTTGCTGATGAGCACAGAGCAGCATGTGAGAGCCCCGTCCACTTTAACTTTCTCCATATTGGACACAGGAATCAGCATGTGGTCTTTCAGCTTTTCAAACACCTGCAAGACACAAAGACAAGAGTATCAGCACAGATATTCAATTTTTTTGTGTTTACAAGATTTTTAGAAAATTGGTGCCACATTCAGTCTAGTGCAATTGGAAAACATGTCTTATGAATTTGACTGTTCATTACTTTTCTGATCTAATTCTTTAAATGTGGGATTTCAGTCAGTGGCTCAGCTGCATGAAAAAAATCGGTGTCTGGATGATCCAAGTTAGGAGAAATAATTAGAAGATCTCACCAGATACTCAGGTTGATAGGAACTCAGAGTGAATCAAGCTATAAAGCAGAATTTTACAACCCTATCCTGAAATCTTGTGCATGTGTCTCATTTCAGAAACACTAAATGGCTTAATAAATGCAAATATAAAATTTGAGTGCTGCAAAACTTCTAGCCATAACAAGCTTGCAAGGCATGACAGCTATTGCCACAGGCAAACGTGGTGATTCAAGAGTTGCGTTACCAAGGGAAATTTTTACATTACCACATTTCTAGTAGAAATTACACTCCAAGTTCTCTTCAGGTACTCTGAGTTGCTCACACAGTCCAAACGTTTGTATCTTAGATTTATTTGTTTCTCTAAATTGCCCTTAGGGATGTTTGTCCCGTGATGATCTGAAAACCTGTCCACGGTGTACCCCTTTTTTTTTTTCACTCACCACTGAAGTTGGGCACCAGCGCCCCCTGGATCCTGAGTAAATAAAGTAAATAAAAACAAGCTAAAGCGTTAAATGAGCAGTTCAGACAGTGCGCTGCCATCTGGTGGCCAAGTTGCAGACCACAACAATGTGCCAACTATTTTCACAGGTAAGATGATAAATGGCCTGAATTTGCATAGCACTTTATCAAGTCAGATGATTTCAGAGCAGTTCACCCATTCATACACACATTCACACAATGATAAGGAAAGCTACATTGTAGCCACAGCTGATCTGGGGCAGAGTGATGATAAAAGCACATCTGCTATTCAATCAGAGCCACTGGACTCTGACCACAGCCAGCAGGCAAAGCAAGTAACGCATCACAGCTACAAGACAAGAACTGAGAGGCTGGTTCGAACCAGCAACCCACCGATTACAGGACAAATCCCAATCACCTGAGATGCTAGTCGGGCTATCTGTAGTTTAGATGGAAACAGGACAGAGAAAAAAAGAAACCAAAAAATGACTTATTTTTGTTTGCAATATTCCACAAATTAAAAATAATGTACATCATACTGATGAGGAACCCATAACTGTCATGGGTAAATGTGCAAAATATACAAAATGTCTTCTCTGGACTTTTAGCACTATTCATATGAAAGGTAAATTTTGCCAGTATTAACAAACTAAAGGGTTTCTCATTGTAGCTTCAGCTTTTTTTATGTAAATAAACCAAATGCTGCTTCCACCAGTCATTTCGAGCATTAACCGGTATGAACTTTACAAACGAAATAAAATTATTTGTGCACAGACAAGTGATTGTTAAATTGCTTTTGGTGGCATAGATCCAAAGGGAGAGAGACAAAATATTAAGCAAGAGAACAGCTCTAAACATTTTCTCGTCTCTAAGCAAATTCTCCAAACAAAAAAAAGAAAAGAAAATGGAGTGAGAACTATTACAGCATTCTCAAAAGACCCTTGTAAAGTAATGTGTCACACTGTGGCCGTTTTCCAAAAGAAAACCACTGTTTTCCTACTGCACTTCCAAACCAGGACATTTTTCTCTTTAAACTCTTGCTTCAACCCTGCAGTGATATCAAGTGAGGCCTTAAAGCACAACCAGGGGGACCAACTAAACACACTTATAAGGAGTGATGCAATATGGCGAACAAAGCTTCTGTTGATGCAGATGATATCTTTAACGTCACTACAATGACTGCTTAGAATGTTGTGTAATGCAGCAACATCAGCCAGATCTCAGTGCAACTGAAACAGTGACACTCCCCTTTCACAAACAGTATTGGAGTGTTCGAAACTATGGTGTTAATGCATGTTCCTACATAGTTTTCACATTATTCCTTCTTCGTGCGTTGTCTAAATTACTACTGTGGAAATCTGCCTGTGCTCATTTGTCCCTAACTGCCGTCTGTTGAAAAGAAATGTCTACATGGCAACGGGAATGTGATGACAAACTTAGCTCTAAATGTTCAGCAGTATTAGTTGTCCATTGAAATTTGCAAACATTTTTTCACCCACAAAAAGTAATTTATGTTTAAATATGTGTATATATCCATCAATATATTGTACTTTGCTTGTCCTCTCCATACTTAAATTATCCAGCTCATCAGCAGGATCCCAACACCCAAGGTGTTCCAAATCCACAAGGTCTCAGCGAGTTCTGTCCAAGAGTCTGCTCTCACAGGCAGGTGCCCAGGAAATCTCTAATGGGAGGCATCTTGATTGGATGCCCAAACAACCTCAAATGACTCATTACAGAGGACCATTGGTTCCACTTCAAGCTCCCACTGGATGATTGAGTTCCTCTCCCTCTCACTATGGCCCACCCAACCTACGGAGGAAACACATTTCAGCCACTTATATCCGAAATCTTGTTCTTTTAGTTTTTCATTGTTAAGCGGTCATAATAAACCACCATTTGCCTATTTGGCTCTGCTCATTCTTTACCTCAACAGACCAAGCCCAAGCCCTTAAGACTGTTAATAAGGCCCAAGAGAGTCTATCCATCTCCCTTTACATTCTTGTTAACAAGACTCCAAGATATCACAACTCCTCAGCAAAAGAAAGCGACTCAGCACCAAGCTGTAGGGCAAAAGAGCTGACTCTTATCTCAACCATATAGTTCCCTGAGGATGAAGGCTTGAAAATGGCATCAAAATCAAATCATCGGCAAAAAGACAGACTCTGAGATTCCAAATCAGATCCCATTCTCCCCACAATTTAAGATTTTATCCATGAACACCAGAAACAGGGCCAATGACAAGGGTAAGCCAGGGGGGTGTCCAAACTGCATTGGGAACAGACTTCACTTTTCGTCCAAAACGCAGAGGCAGCTCTTAATTTGGCTATTCAAGGACCGAACAGCTTAAAAGCATCCTTCACACCTAATGCTCCAATACAGCACTCGTTAATTCACCAACACAACACCCATACAAAATACTCCAAGAAACATATTTGCAAGCACTCTCCATGCATTAGACAGCCAAACTGAAAAGTCTATATTTGAAAATGGCATTTGCTTTTATCTTGCCATTTTGATATTCTTGTGCACAAAAGTAGACATTAAAAACTTAGAGGATAACTTTACTGCCACCAAAAAGTCTCAACCTTAGGTTATCAAATAAAAGATTTCTCAGGAAAGGTCAAGACTTTGCATAGCTTTTAGAAACACATTCACATTAATGACTTTTCTTCTGTTTATCTCTTCGGCCTCATATTCCCTCTTTTTTAAATCATACCAAGCCTATTTTTTTATTACAGCAGTAAGGACTTATGTTTTGGGTCAGGTTGACATAGTCCTAAACAGTAGGATCATAAGTTACAGGGGCTTTTGTATGCTTCATTTATTTAACTCCGGACTTCCAGGACATAGCTAACCGTTTCATGTGCCAGATCTTCAGCCTGTCATACCCCACCAGTCTTCTCATGACCCCTGGTTTTGTTTGTGTGGAACTCTTATGTAACTTCACGAGCAGCTAAAAATAGAGCGGAGGTCAGGACAGACAGTGTTTGGAGGCAGATGTCTTGCTGAGTGCCTCTGTGATTATGTAGACAAATCTCTACATCTCACAGGAAGAGCAAGCAAAAATTTCCTCTGGGAAACATGTACCAACTCCAGACCCACTGCGCAAAACATGACAGTCTGCTCTGATTAAGCAGCTCCTGCTGTTTTACTGCATCTGGTGTTATTAATATATTTCCCTAAGTTACAAAATCTTATATATGTGCAAATATGGAACAGAAATTAGACTTTAATAGTTTTTGGTATGCTTGAAAAACATAGATGGAACTGTATCATAAATCAGCAATGGTGCCTTGTATATTTATTTTAATCCTTGGGCTTATATTAAGACATTGTAAAGCACAAATGCAAATGTTTGGGGATTTAATGCGATAGACCAACTCAACTTGGGGTAATGTGAGAAAAAAAAAATGATACATGGTTTTCAGAAATGATTAGAAATAAAAATGCACACCACGCATTTTTATTTCTAATCATTTCTGAAAACCATGTATCATTTTTTTGATTAGAAATAAAAATGCGTGGTGTGTCATTGTGTCCAGTCTCAAATTTGCGACAAACTCTCCCACCTGCAGCTCCTTCAGAGTCTCTATCAGCCTCTTACCTGCTTTTCTGAACAGTTCTATCATTGCATTGAACTGAGTAGTGGTGTATAACATGTTCGAAGCTTGGGATATTGTTACATACCGTAACCTCCCCTTGTGACTCTCCACAACTTCACCCCTGACCTTGTATGATTCTTAGTCTTCGTGAGGCTTTTCTTCACAGATGTTTTCTTTCTAACCCTCAGTAATGTGCTAATTTGTGTTGGTCTACCAATATAATCGCAGTAAAATTTATTGGAGTTTGAGGCTGATGGCAAAAAGGTTCTGGAGGAATATTTGTGCAAGGCACTGTACATTCTTCACAAACCTATCCAAATAGACTGTTAAAAGGTACTCCCAAAGCAAGCAGCATTATATACACAAATAGATTTTATCATGCTCAAGCTAAATTCCATCAGCCATTCTTCCTGGCAGAAAACAGAGACTTCTTTGCGGATTTAGGTCCAAAGACACATCATTTTGTGAATTCCTCCTTCTAAAAATAGCTGGCTAGGTTTGGGCCTTTAACCACAGAGTACATTTTGAGGTTTGAACACTGTCTCTGCAGACTATGTGTTGCCAGGTTTAATCTTGTGAGAACCATTATGACTTGTTGTGATTTGGAGTCACCCCAAAGAATCAAAATAACACAGCTACTGCTCAGTCTTCCCTGACCCAGCAGACAAATGGAGAAAATAACACATAACTCATGTCAAGCAGCCACATGGAATATACGTGTCATGGGTCAGAGACACAATTTTCCTTAAAGCTAAGCTGTTTGAGACTTTAATGCTACTGTACTGTATATTTGTGGGAAACATTTAGCCGTGTATGTTTCTAGACAAGTGACCGTGCAAACATATTTTCTTAAGGTTTAAACAAAGGGTGATTCAATAAAATAAAAAAATTTTAAAGATTGTTTTTTCTTCTTTTTTGATGGCATTCCTTTGGTCATTGGCAAGTTTGGTAGAAATGGTGTTTCTTGTGAAGAAGAGGCTCACAAATCACAAGGTTGGGTAACAAAATCAATTTGGTTCACTTCAATCTAGAAGAACAAATGGATAGTGTTTATGGAATGTTTGGTTGGTTGATTGGTTGGTTGTGGATGGATGGATGGATGGATGGATGGATGGATGGATGGATGGATGGATGGATGGATGGATGGATGGATGGATGGATGGATGGATGGATGGATAATAAAACCACTTGAAAATGTTCAGTGTTGTTTATACATTTTAAATAATAGGACTGGGCAGACATTTGAGAATAGAAGGTTTAAATTTAAACTTTGGAATTGTACCATTCAATAAAGTCTGATTATTGTGGGGAGTTAAAATAATTTTTGATGTGGCATTTTCTTAAAGGTATCAAGAAAAATGTTTTCTCACAATGTACTCTTTTAACAGTTTATCATCTTTTGGGTGGTGCCTGTCTGAAACAACAAACAACAATTAATTATTTTTTAGCTTAGAGTAGTCAAGTTAAGGTTTAGTTTAAATATTTAGGATTTCAAACCAGAAATTACAGTTCAAAGACCTTCAAAATGGAGTAAAAATCATTTTAAGTAAGCTGGGCTGAAAAAAAGCAATAAAAAACTTGCCCAGGGAGTGACTGAGAAGACTATTGCTCCCTGCAGAGCTATCTATGATGCCCTGGGTGAGAGCCGTCTTTCCTAAAAGTGCCACTCCTTGTGGCTCCTCGGAGCTCGTCCATAATGATGACCATCTCAAATGTATATGGATGGATAGGACAGGCACGATAAAAACCTGCACCTCTCAACTAAGATGTAAAGGTTTGGAGATTTTCAGTGTAATCGCTATAACTAAACTCTTTTGTGTATAAAATTACATTTGATTCATTCTCACTGAAAACATCCATTTGGACCCGCCTCAATGAACGACTCAAGTTTTGATGGAGAAGATAAAACACTTTGGTGTTCCTTGGTTTTAGACTTGTCCGAACCTGGTCCACAACAGTCCAATTCATTGAAAATTGCAGCTTCTTTTGTTTAAAAAAGCCCACTATGGTCAGAGGAAAATAACTATGTAGCTCATGTTCGGGTTCTCTCTCTTGCCAATTGTTTTTTTCGGAGGTCTGGGGAGGATGAAGTGTAACATAGACAGCCTCTCCTTAAATCTAAGCCGCCAAACCAATCTGGCTGTCCTGATGGTGGTCCTTCCTACCGCAGGTGTTGCCTTTAGCATCCTTGATGACAGTGTAATTGTGCATTTGAGAGAAAGTAAGTATGGGATTTGAGATGAATATTACCTTCACACTCTCTGGAAACTCCTCCGCCGTGCAGTGAAGAAGCACGTGTCCTTTGTTGGGAAGATTCATGTAGATGCAGTTAGCAGCAATGTCATCTGGCACCGTCAGCTTGTCATAGCGATGGTCGCTCATTTGCTGCATAATCTGATCAGGAAACATACATTTTGATGTAAAGATGAGAGTGCACGCAGTGGATAGAAACACAGACACAAAACAGACTTCCACTCAGATTCCTTGACTCAGAATCGAGCCCACAATCCCAAAAGCAGCTCAGCATCCTTTGACTCGCCAAACCGCTGTGGGTGACTGAGGGGGGCTTAATGGAGAACACAGGAGCAGACAGACATTCCTTCTCAGCAGATGTCATGTTTTTATGTAATCAGAAGGAGCTTAAGGTGGGATGAGAGGCTAAGAAGTGGAGGCCAGGAAAAGAAGATGGTCATATTGCTGAGTAAAAGTCATAGTGTTGAGGATGTTTTGACTAGAAGTAAAGCAGGTTTATGAGCAGAACATCTGTGGATGAATATCTCTTTTCTTCAAGAGATATTTTTTTCTTTGTCCATCTCTGTGCACCTTGGAAGCACGTGACATTGCAGCAGAAACATTTGGATCTCTACAAACATGGGGGGGCCACACTCACTACTGATTTGCATTTTGAACAGCAGCACATGACATTTTAGCAGCATGCACTAGCCTGCCTTCTCATATTTTGACTGTGATTTTTGGGAATTCTTTGAACTCAGCCAAGTGTTTTTGAAAGGAGCGATAGATTTTTTTCGGAAGAAAATTTTCAAGCACAGAGTTTTCATTTGGTCAAGTTTTAATTTCATTTTCCACTGTTCAGGTTTATACTACCAATGCAAAACGTGGGTGTGTTTCCTCTTATAAGGGGGATTAAAATCACAGCACTAAACCTTGATTCCACCAAACATCACATTATATGCCAAATAGCATAACCTTATTAATCACAACGACTCTTTTCTTAATTTTGCACTCAAATAATTCAGAAGTTGACTGAATTTCAGGCAAAAATTATTAAATAAAATCTTGGGCCTGAAGTTCAATATAGTCATCCTAGCTGCAAATTGAAGTCCAAGTCTCATGCAAATAAACATTGACTCTTGCCTGGACACTGGCTTAGATCCAGTTAATACAGAGAGTGGTTACCGGGGCAGCACAAAGTGCCCAGTCAAAGGTGGTAAATCTAAATATTTACAGGAAAGTAATTAAATCCCTTCTGGGCAAAGAACTGGCAAGCAGATAACAAGGAGTCTCACAATTTACTGGATCTGATGCCCTCCACTGTGATAATCAGCATAATCTGCATTTTGAACCCTGGTATGAATATTTATAATACTTCCCATGGTGCCTTTAAAAGTTTTACAACTCTCCTTTTCACTAAGCAACAGCAACACATGAAGTAAATTTTGCTTACGGCTCCAACAAAATCCTGCGGAAAAATGCCAGACTTTTCTTGCTGAAGAACACAGTTAGTTACTGTCCTTCTGGTAAATACTGCAGTTACATGGAGCTGTGGTGAAACAATGGTTATATTTTTCTAATCGTTGTACACTAAAGTACCTACTTTTGCAGATTAACATCTTGACCTTATAAAACACAAAAAAGAAATAAAATATATTGTTTCCAGAAAATACAGAGGGGAAGAAAAAAAAACCTCTAGTCATGTTGACAAAATATGGAATAATTACTCAATTTGGCTCAATCTGACCTCTAGTGTGTGGTCAACTCATCATCTATGAAACTGAAGCATGTTAGCATCCTTGAGGCAGAGATCAGATGCTGACCAGTGGGAAGAGATGACCTCATAAATCAAGTAGGGCTTTGTGAAGTGGTGACTGATGATGTCAAACCTGTCGGCAGTCTGCTGCAGGGCGTGGTTAGTGTGTATGTGTGATTACAGGGAGTGGGAGCTGAGGCCTGTGACAGGGGCTGTATTTTAGGATGATGACTTTCTGGGTGAAGCTGGGAATTGACGGCCGCAGATGGATGACGAAATCGGTCCAATCAGTGTGTACTCCCATTCCTATGAGAGCTAAACAGATCCACAGTTCTGAGTCCTGTTGCATAGGCAAAAGCAAAGCTATAGACTTATTAAAGCATCAGAAAACAACAGTGTTTTATCAAAAGTATTCATGCCCCATGAACTTTATCACATTTCTTTCATATTTCAGGGACAAATTTCGGGAATTTTATACATTAGACCAGGGATCTGCCACCTGTGGCTTCAGAGGCTCTCTGGGCATTCCTCACTGGTTCTTAATAGTTTTGGTTAAAAATGACACAGAGGCAACTAATGTTTTTAAAGATAAATATAAAAATTGCAGGTTTTATGGGCTTTCTGTTTTTTTACAAAATAACTGCAGTGAATTTCCACAACAGAATGAAACTAAAAGTACAAGTAATATATTGCTGCCTATTTTTCTTGACATGATCCTGGAAACTTTACATAATTTTCCACAAATAAACAGCCCAAATAAAATGCATCCATCCTCCTTTTGTAAATGTTTTACATGTTTTTTTAGTTAAATAAAATTCTAATTGGTGGTTCTTTAAAAATTATTTTAAAAAATCCTATGATAGATATTTATCAAAAATTATAAGAGGTATTTTTAATTCCCTTAATATTTTGTGGACGGAAATCATAAAACAAGGGGGAAAATCTATAAAGTGAACAAACAGCATCATGCACAGAGAGGAACACCAGACACATGGGAATATTCAAAGCAGGGTTATCTTATAACTCAAAGTGTTGTTCAACCCATCACACAAAAATGAACCAACAAGACACGGAATCTGTCAGCATTGATGGGAAATGGATGGAGCCAAATACAGTTGAAACACAGAAGACAGCTGGATAGAGGTTGAAAAAAACGTGAGACTACGGTTGACCCACACCTCCTGGCAGGACAACAGGACAGCTCAGTCAAAGTCCAGACCTAAATCTAACTACTCATTTAGAGCAAGATTTAAAAATTGCAATCCAAAATATTCCCCATCAAATCTGACTGAGCTTGGAAAGAAGAAAACATTTTAGAAACTATTCTTCTTCTTCTTCTTACACTTCACATGCAACACTGAGTAGACCTGTGACATAAAATTCCAGTAAAAAAAATCACCATAGTTTGTGTTTAAAAAAGCACAAAATGTGAAAGGATTTAAGTGGTACTTTCCATAAAATTCCCATGTAACATGTTCTTTCTCTATAGAAAAAAATGAATCCGTTGAGCTTCAGGTTTGTTTCATAAGTATGCAGAGGAAGACCTTTACTGTCATGAGACCAGCATTAATATCCAAAACAAGCAGTCCGAATTCATTAAAGCTGTATTCATAAGCGCGCCCTCTCCTCACAAACATAATATCACCCAACTGCAGATGCTGGGGTGCTAAAAGTCCTTTAAAACTGAAGCTAATTGCTGCAAGAGAGGGTGACGCAAGCCATAATTAGCAAGCGAGCCCTCTGTTATTAAATATTGCTAAAGGCCACTCCTCATTCCAGCAGCTAATTACTGCGGGTGATCAAACAGCCAGGAGTCTTAATGAGTTGGAGCTCGAAAATAAATGTAATTAGCTTATGTACTTTTTCACAGATTCTTCTGTTCTTGTGTACACTTTGGCAGAGAGATACACCAAAGGAGTATTTTACACAATAAAAATGATGTGCTTGACCTGTAGGGGGAGTTCTGACTCTGAAAGCAGGGGTGGTGAAGAGCTGTCACACAGGACAGGAGAATGCCAAGAGTGTACTGTATGATCTAGTGTGTATGTTTTTGGACCCATAGAATTAGAGAAACAAAGTGTGTGCGTGCGTGTGTGTGTGTGTGTGTGTGTGTGAGAGAGAGAGAGAGATCTTCACTTCAGTCTAGCATGAACAAACAACTGACTTGCAGATGGTTGTGAATTTTTGGGATAGTTCTCGAGCCGGGATGTGCTGAGATTTAGTACTCTCTTGGTGTAACCCACCAATCTGTCTCTGTCAGGCTGTAAGCTGTCTCTTGTCTGGACGCCCAACATCCTGTGAATTTCCATTTAGAAGCCTTTCATGCGGTAATGAGCTCAAGCTGTGTAATAGGAGGACAAAACCTTTGTAATTAAAGCTGGAGAGCAAATGCCAGAGGCATTCCCTGCAAATTAGCAGAGAATATGAATCAATGCAGAGGGAGATTAAAGGGACAATGCTTTTTTATATGGTTGCAGTAAGAGGGTGCCATCAAGGTATAAAGTTATAAAGAAGTTCAATCTGTCAATTTGTGTCAAGACCGGCGTTGTAGAATAAGCAGCTGCCTACTTTAAGAGCCTTCTGAGCTGGTTCACTGGAGCCGATGATGATAAGCCCTGGTCCTCCCATGCTGCAGAAGCTCTTCAGGTGCAGCCCCTCCAGCACAGGCACAGTGGAAACAGCATAGTCCTGTGAAACACAATCCAATTATAGGAGCTAAACAAAAAATAATTCCCAAGAGCACAGGATACACACAGGATGGAAATGATTTCAGTAATCTCTGCACATTCCAGAGTCAAACATTGGACCAGTGATGTGAAAACACTTTTCAGAAGTGTGCCTTTCCACCTGCTGACCAACATTTTCACCAAAAATTTAATCCTGGTAAAATTACCCTGGCAGTTGAGAACATTTGACAAAGGCATTTTACAAAAAATAATTATCGTAATAATGTTTAAAAATGTACAATTCAAGCTTTGAAAGAAATCGAGGTGAAGACCATCTCATTCCTGTATAATAATAAAAATAATAACAGTGTTTAAGGCTCTTGAGAGGGCACATTTAAAATAAAGTAACACCATTTAGGGGTGGAAACAGCAGAAGTGTCTGAGAGGTGATGTCACTGAGCCTCAGGCTCACGGGGAGATTACACAGGACTTGTAAGAACCTGATTCAAGCCACTTTCTCTGGCTGCAGGAAGTCTGCTTGCCAAATGCTGTTATTACTATTGTTACAAAAACAAAAGTTACATAAAATTGTATTTTCACAGCGGAAACTGAAAACAGTTTATTTCCATCTGTCTAGCGTGTTTGAGGGTAAAAACTACTCAAGTCTTTAAGTAAAGAATTACAGCGGTAAACTGTCCTTTTTGTGAAAGAAAACATCAGAGCAGGTGGGAATGGAACACATGAATTACAATGAATAGTACTGTTTACATTTGTTTTATAATTATAAAGGGTGCCAGCTGTGGGATCTGTGATTATAGTATAAACAACTATTTCTTAAGATTCCACATTGAGCACATGTACTTAAATTTGGATTTAGATATTTTATTTTCTGTCTAAAATTATGCCACTGTGGTTCTTTTTTTTTTTTCACATCTTTAATCAGTGGATACAAAACTGGCAGAAGAACATCTTTAACCAAACAGCAGTAACATAAATAGTTCCCTGACTTAGACTAGTGGATGAACAGAATGCTGAATTCAATACTGTGAAAAGACAGAAAATGCTAAAGCTAAAGAGAAACCTGAATCAGCACACTACTGTGCAGCGCTTCTAATACGTTTTCACAAAATAATGTTAAATATAAAGTTTTTGGGGATTACAATCTTTCAAAATCTTTCCCAGAATGTATTCAAATCAACAACTTTGAATATATCCTGTATATAACAGAATTATTTCAGAGGTACGACTTTAGGACCCACAGATTGATGTTTATCTTAAGCCTTCAGTCGTTGATCTTGGACAGACAGGCTCAAACGCCAGTTAAAAAGTGACATGCGCTTATAAAATTTACTGCATAGTCTGTGAAAACATTATATTTCCAACATCAACTTTATTTTAGCAGCAACATCCTGACAAACCATGATGGAAATGTCCTTTTGAATGTTGAAAGTTCACTTCTGGAATATTTTAAACCTTTGCTGAATGCAGGATTTGGCCGGTCAAAATTTAAAAAAAAAAATATCTGAAGTCATAGATATAATATTTTTTTGTTCTTTGAATTAGTAGATTTTACACAAACTTATAAACATTATGTTTTGCTGTTAGACTCCATTGTGAAATTTCCCTGTGGTGTCACATAAATTCTTGTGTAACCACATTGTAGCACATTGTTAGTTCAAATGAAGCACAATGCTTCTATTTGTTGCTAAAAACAAACTGCAGTATGGCACTTTGTACTCCGTCATGCCAAAAAAGGCCATGTATGATATAGTCCTGAACTATTTTTCTTGAATGTGCTTATAGGTTCAACTGGGAACCAATGGAAATTACAGGATGTTCTTTCTCCATTCCTTATCCACAAACAGGAAGTGTCTGTGTGAAATTAGAAATGGAAGCCATTCTTCTTCTCTTATCAAGATAAATGTGATAAAGAAGCAGGAACTGTTCCTTTTCATCTGGAATGATACTTTAATACTTTGAAGTAAAAGATTCTATTTACTACTTAAAAGAAAGTCAGACGGTTCCTTATTAGATACCCCAAAATAAGAAATCAACAATTTTACAACACGGAAATAGAAGAAAATATAATTTAACCTCTGCACTACTTCCCAAACAAAATGATTCCATCAGCAACACCATTATCCCAACATCTGTAAGAACCTTAAAGCAAAGAGCCCTCACATCTGCATGCAGTTGTGTAGCACTAAACAAACCTGGAAACAGGATGATCCTTCATTTGATAATTAAAGGAAAAACCAACAGTGATAGGATGGAGCAATCAGATAAAAAGTGGAAAAAACAATAATTGATGGCTAAGTAATTTTTCCTTTTGTTATTTGCCAGGAACGCATCATTTAGTCCCATCTTATCAAAGATAACAGAAAACACAGAGGAATCCGTAATGAGGTTCTCAAATCAGATACAGATGGGAGAATAAGGCAGTTCAAGTTACCGTAATGTGTTAAACTCTTGACATTATGACCCAGGGCTGAATCTGCCTGTCAGCGTGCTTCTCGGCTTTGCTACACCTTCTCGGAGAGAGGCCAAATGCGATGAACAAAAGATCGCAGCGGAAAGTGTCTCTAATTTATACCAGCAGCAAAGGAGATAGATTAGATCAGTCACTCTGACTCTTTTTGAAGGCGGCATGCCTTTAATCCTGCTTGAAATAAATCTTGCTGTTGCAGAAATACTTGGCGTATTTTCATAACTGCTAGATGCAGGTTTTGGTGAGCTTGGTATAACGATCAAGCCAAAATGAACTGAAATTATTCTGTGCAAGCACTCATTGAAAAGACTGAGACCAAACTTCTACAAAATAGGAAAAATCACACCAATAGGTGTTGCTCCTTTACTTACCACAAACTGATGTTTGACCCATCAAATCAGACTCTACAACCCACAGAAAGTGAATGGCCCCACTTTCTGTGCAAAAACATATTTTAGATGTCTTGAAATTACTAAGATGCTCAAGTATGCCATGTATTGAAAAAGAGAATAAATGTTGTAATGGAGCTTTAGCAGAAGTTCAAGCTGGAAGACTCCGCCCCCTCCGTTCACCCATCGACGTCATGCTCATCCCCGTCCTCAGCCTGGACCTCACCCTGCACATTCAATCAGCAATCAGGCTCTGCATAAAAGGATCCACACCCAAACCGTCAGACACTTCCCAGCTGCGTTCAACCCACCACCTCCCCATCTCCACCCTCATCCTTCGACTCTCCAGGATGAAACCCTTCCTGACCACCACCACCAGTGTCGGGCCCCGGGGGGAGAGCATCCCTAATCAGTTATCGGGATGTTCATCGAGTTCACATCAAATCTCAGCTCAAATCAGCTGCTGGGGCCCGAGCGCCAAAGAACTGTTATTCATTGCTGTCATTAAATCTTTTAATTGTTCCTTGTTCTCCGTCTGAGTCTCTCCAGATTGAACTCGTTTTATATGTCGACCTATTCTATCATTAAGTTATGCAGATAATGCCAAGAGGTTAGGTAATTATTAGCTTAAATACTTAGAACCATGGGCTGTTTATGTGGGACTTCACAGTGGTGCAGCTATTAGCAATGTTGCCTTGCAGCAAGAAGCTGCAGGTTCAGATTCCAGCCTGGGGTCTTTCTGTATGGAGTTTGCATGTTCTCCTTGTGTCTGCATGGGTTCTCTCAGGCTACTCTGGCTTCCCCCCGCAGTCAGAAACATGACTGCTGGTGGGTAAATTTGTCTCTCTAAATTGTGCACATCCTGACCAGAGTGAACCTTACCTCTCACCCAATGATTACCAGAGATACATACCAGCCTATCCCTGCCTATGCTGGCACGATAGCATGTGTTATGCAATATCACATGCAATTGTGATATTGCAATATCACATAAATCAAAAGCATAATTTTGACACAGGTTGCACTTGCTTATGAAGAGATTATTTGAACCCAAATTATAGATTCAAATTACAAATATGAGTCATTTGAGCCTAGTGAGAAACATCTGCCTAAGTGACACACATAAACAGTTTAGCAACACATCAGCCAAGAGCAAACAAGATGATTTATAATAATGACATAAAAGGAAATTATTCATGAGGTAATTAATGCAAGGTTTACTCCTTCACATCAGCTTTTTAAATCTTTTTTATTGTCTGCTTTATTAATCACTGTGGACATAACTGGGAAAAGTTTGCATCAAATGTTGATTAAAAATGCTTTGAAGCCTGGTAAGGCTTCATCCAAAGCATTAAAAGCTAATTACCACAGGGACATTTTACAGATGTGTCAATCAATAACATCAGCTTCAATGATGCTAAGGAGCAACAACAAAAAAAATGTTTTAGAAAATTGCACAATGCCACCTGACTGAAAACAGACTTTCCTTGTGGAACTGCTTTCCATTTCTTGTTTCATAAAGTTTTGTTAATAGTTTTAATTTACATTCTTTATAGAATCTTAGAGAATAAAAAGAGCATTTTTAACAGTTTTATTAAGTTAAAAACACTTAAATGAATAAGGCACATATTTGTGTTGTATGCAATTGTTGCACACAAAGTGATATGCTTCAAGACTAACTGGTCCTTTTTTATGAATAAACATTACAGCTTTAACATTTATGTCACACAATGTGATGTAAAATGGAAGTGTTCAGCCTGCAGCCCAGGTTCCTTGAAATAGCAGCCTCGGCGTTTTTGGTAATAAATGTATGGTGTATCAGCTGTAATACAGCTCACTACGGGGGATCCTTCCTGCCCAAAACCATCACTGTCTATACAGACTTACATATCAAATAGTTAGAATGAATACAAAATTAGATTTTTGGATTTAATATAGCATATTTAAATTACTTACATATTCTACTTTTTTAGATTCACCAACCAATCAAGTTAAAGGATTCAAGTTTCACTCTGAAACTTCACTTTTCCCTTCAGGACTTTTAAACATCAATTTACAAGAGAGCTGGGGATGTAATGTAATGGAGCTCCTCACTTACATTGTTCAGTTTATTTAAATACATCTGGCTCCTAAAGGGCCAACAACGAAGTTGGTTCAGACATGTATGTTTTCTCCTGGTGCTTCAGTTTATTTCCACAGTGTAAAGCACATGCACTTAAGGGTAAATGATGACTTTAGGTTGCCCCAGGATGCGAGTGTGTACATGGCTTTGTGCCCCTGAACATGAATAAGAAGGTATGCTAAATATTTTAACGGATAAACAACATAAACTCACCTTAAATGCATCAGCTAGAATCTCTGCTCCTCTCTGATTTGTCCGTTTAGAAAGACCAACAAAGAATTCTCGACCTGGATAAAAAAAAAAAAAAATCTCAAAATTAGAATTTTGCAAAGTCAGCAGAAATAGTGAACAAATCAGGCAGTTTTATCACTTCAATTTTCACTACATTCAGTATGAACGGTGGAGACATAGTGGGAAATATATATATATATATAAATAAAAATACTTGAATCTCTCGGCAAGAATGCAGCCGCACACTGAGCTCAGGGACGGGTTCCTTATGTTGCTGCTGAGCCTTTACAATATGAGCCATTAGTCTGGGCCCTGCCAGCAGGAAATGTTTCTTACCCTACCATGTGAAACCGATTTCAGCTGAAAAGAAAGACACCACAGAGCCAATGTCTAGAAACTCAATTAGGTGTACTGTACTTTTTCCATCTGGCTCATGCAGTGAAGACACCACTGACCCACATTTTACATCGCCACGGAGTGTAACACAATGTTCTGAGTGTAATGTAGACCACCATGTTTCTGATTTGACTGTGTTCATCGGTTTTGTCGGCTGCTGCCTAACACATTTAACAGCTGTGCTGATCAGCAGGATGGTACACAACAGTTTTACTACAGGTGAAACTCCGGTGTGTGCACAGGGCCACCAGGTCATGGAGGTCACACACAGGAGTGTTTTTCTAGAGAATTCAAAAACACAGAGACATGGTCAAAGGCACTGACTCGTCTGCTCACATATGGAATATAGGAGCTCTTTTATTTCATCCACCTCTGCAATTTCCCGTTTACTTGCCACTTATACTTTTACTTTCTTACCTTGAGATCAAAGTGGTGTATATTTTCTCTGCAGGTGCCTTGCTGAAAAATGTAACTAAAGGCATACACTTTAAATAAAGTGAAATATATTTGATTACAACATGAAAAGCGATGGTCATCTGAGTTATTATGTACTAAAGTGAACATGAATAAAGTCCAAATGTCCAAGTCCAACTAATGAAGCACCAGAATGTTAACTAACAGTTAGGTGCACTATACATGATATGTGTAAGTCAAATGGTGCATCCTACAGGAAAGTATTTATTCATCATACAGTCCTAAAATATTTCAAGCAATAACAGCTGAACAAGTCACTTTTAAAACATTTTTTCATAGACCTTTTTTTTTTTTTTACCATAATCTTCCCTAAATCAAAGGGATAGGATGTGTTTTTACTGGATCAAGTTTATATTTACAGTAATTAGATTACAACATACCTTGATGGCTTATGAGTCAACCATAATTAGACAAAGTTAAGCACAGAAGAAAAGCCTCAGATGAAAATCCATGAGTACTCAGATTGCAACTGAAACCTACCTGTAAACAGAACGTCTCCTCCATCCAGCGTTGCATTCTCATCCGTCATTTCCACTATGTTCAAATTTAGATCCTTTAGAGCCTCTTTCATCACTTCAGTCTGAAACAGAGCAAAGATTTAAAGAAAACGATACATTGTTAACAAAACAAAACTGAAATTCTGAGACTGTGAGATCCTCCAGGTATCAGATCACGGTCTTATAATCAAGCCACTTTCAAATGATTAGTATCGAAGTGATGTTATTTTATGATAGCCACACCCCCAGTTAGCCCTCTGTTGCCAGATATTAAACATGTACTTTTGTTTGCTTGCACAGATGGCAAATGTGCATATATGGCAACTGTGCTAAAGAGCTCAGATATTTATTTTTGTAATTTTTATTTAACATCCTATGTCAAAGCTTAAGTTCTTTTCCACTATTTACAATGATGTCCACAGCGAAGGACAGACTGATTTGGATATTTGGACTGGAGCACTAGATAAATGCTGCCCTGCTTTAACACATCACCAACATCACAGGTGAGTCAGGTAAGTGGGACTCAGTCCCACTACAGATAACGTTTCACTGATGTCAGGTTTTATCTTCTTACACTGCCCTTTAAAGTTGCTGAATTTCTGACTTCACAAATCAAGACAAATTTCAATGAATTCCTAGCCTGATGACTCAGACTGGAACTGAGGACAATATTTCCAAATTGGGAAATCGCTACCTCAAACCATTTTTTATACAGAGCAACACAATGATAAGACTCAGTTTTTAAAAGATACATTTTTCACATGATTAAAAAAATGAACAGGTTCAACTGTTCAACATATTTAAAAAAGGATAGTTGCAGAGATTGGTAACTAAACACTTTCTATCCTGCAGGATGCCATTACATCATTTAAATGAGCCGGGTCATGATGTCATTTAGTAGGAAGCACGTTAAAAGTTTTACGACGCAGTGACCAGGGAAAATAGGTATGCTAAAAGATCATCGCGAACTCATGAAATGCCTCTTCCTCTCCTCCTGTTTCAGAACCACCTGCATTTCATAAATTTATAAGGAGAAAGTTCAGGCATTCCACCGGCTTAACATTAAGATGCATTCTTATGTGAATCGCCTGAAGTAAGATTAGAGGAAATCCACATTTTGTCTCCATATCACCTCAACTAAACACAAAAAGCTGCCAATAAGTCTGCTCTCCTGTCGGACCGCCATGAGAGATTTTACTGTCCTGCTTTTTGGGGTTCTTCTGGGAGTACTTTCCATGTTACCGTGAGCATCAGTGTTTCCACAAGCCCTATCTCACTATGACCTCAGCCCATTGCTCAGAGTGATTTTGTGTAACATTGCTTCTGCTTCTCCTCAGCCATGAAATACCGAACCATGAGGTCATCCAGGTACACTGCTTGTGCTTCTAGATAATGCAGCGGGGATCAGAGACCATTCTCTCCCCTTTGAATCCACAGATTTAATTTCCTATGCACAGCACAGGCAGAGCTTTGTGCAAAAAATACCAGAATCAGAATCAGCGTTTTTGGTATAAAAACAAGAAATTTTGCTTTTGTTTACTTTGCTCTCAGTGTGCATGTTGTTTTCAAACAAGTATATGAATTTGGTGGGTAATAAAAATAAAAATAAAAAAAAATGCATGTTGCTGATTCCCAGCAGAATAGGTGGGAACTCCAGTTAGTGTTCATCAGAGACGCAAGAATCTCTCTGTAGCAGTTTGTTTTTGCAAATAGTCCCAACCTGAAGGTAAAAGTCTAAACAGTTTGTGTCCAGGATGTGTGGGGTCTGGAGAGATGTTAGCTGCTCTTTTCTTGACCCTAAACTTGCAACCTGAAGGTCATACCTGATGACCGAAAAGCAGCAGTGTAGAAGATGTTCCTTACACTAGTTGCAATTCTTTCAGTTGTCAAAAGAAGCACAGTCTGCACCCAGCATTCTTCCAAGCTGTGTCTAAGCATGAGGACCCTCTCAGATGAAGAACAATAGGGACCACAAGTGATCAACAGTGTTGTTGAGATGTACTCAGGCGTAACTAACATAGATTATTCGTTATTGCTCCACTCACTCATAAAGAACACAGCATGCTTCTCTGCTTTGAACCGTGTTCACAAATCCATTGGTGGTTTCTGAAATGTTCTAAAAGTCACAGCATGCAGCAAAATAACTACAGGTAGAAACAAATCCAGCTGTTTTTCATTTCTATTTCTGAACTGCCAAATCACCTTTGGTTTTATTTAGTAGGAATCAATCAATTGTTTTCTGCAAAATGAAAAACACATAATGAAAAGGATAATTAAGAGGAAGCCAGGTGGGTAAGATGCTTGATTTTCATTCAACTAGCATATTTTTGTGTCTGTGTGTCATTTCAGTGGCGGTTGCACATTTTTCTTGTGCAATCAGTGATTCATCGAACATTATCAGCTTCATCTAAATGAGTCTATCAAAACATTTCTTAAGTAAAAATGTTTGAGCGAGTCTCTCCTCCACGAAGGTCACATATGTTGGGTCTATTCCAGTGGGATGATTTTTGAATGCTTTTTTCTTATCTCATTGGTCTTGTTGAATAATTCTTCTTCTTTGGAATTTTGTAAAATAAATGAGACTCCCTTCTTTCAACACTCAAGTATTTCCTGTGACATGACTGAGAATAATGTGACCCAAAGTGTGATAACGTTGCCTCACAACTGAACTGTATGGTATCTTCTAAATGTGCTGACACATTTGCAAATAAACGTTATGTTCAAATTTAAAAGAAAAGTAAGAATGAGCGAGACAAAAGGTTTCATCCACTTCCAGCTGTAATTAAATACCGACTTATTTGAAAGGGGGAAAAAACAAGTTACACGCAAAAATCCTTAAGATGTCATGTAAAATGTAAACTGTCCATCCATCCATATTCCCACAGTACTCGGCTCATTTTGGAGGCTCCTAAGCAAACAGCAATAACATGTAAAAAAAAAAATTGGTTATTAGTACTGCCACATTTTTACCTATTTGACCAATATTGATGCAAACGATGATTGTAACTAATGAGAAAAATGAGATCATATGTATATATATATATATATATATATATATATATATATATATATATATATATATATATATGTATATTATGCACTATTACAGCATGTACAAGTATAACCTAAGCTCACATCTCTGCCATACAGTGTTAAAGTCAAAGCCAAGCTCCTGTCAGAAGACACCAGCAGGTGTGCTCTTGCTGACAGCAAATTATTTTTTCAAATGTAACTCTATTCTCATTTTGGTTTAAAGAAAAGAAAAGATTGATGGGTTTTGTCAAAGGTCTCTGAAAGAATGGTTTAAAACATTCCCCACAGACACACTGCCAATTACAGTACATTAGGCTTAAAATTTATGCATTTCTCCACTGACTTCTGAGACCCACATGCTTGGCAAAAATTCACAAGTGCAAAAAATAGTGAGGATCTACAGAGTTGTGCAAAAGAATTTCTCCCTTCAGTTATTTCTTTGGCTTGTCTCTTTTCATCATGTCTTAATTGCTAAAAATTAGCACATGTGCTTTTCTTATCTTGTTTCAACCAATAACACCTAGAGAATCCTAAAAAAGATTAAAAGTACATATGTCCATGTTTTGAAGTATTTATTGGAAAAAAATCATGTAGAGGGCATCCAATATGGAATTTCTCAATGTTATTTACATCTAAACTTTGCTTAAACCTCTTGCAGTCTTAGCACAATGCTCAGGAGGAGTGCAGCAGATGTCACAGCAGTACCACAGGGAAGCAGGGTTGTCCCATCAGACCGTCAGTTCCCGGAACTACAAAAAAAAGCAACTCATAAGAGCAAGATCAGTGCATGCTGATGGACCATGCACAGAATTAAAACTCCTGGGGTCCAAAAGACTTCATGGGTAAAAATGTATAATGTTTTTTGTGTCTAGTCAGTTTTTCCGAATACTTTCTAAAAGTCTGCAGTGACTTACTGTATTTCTGGGTTCTTTTCTGACTTCCTAAATGGATGGTTGCATAATTCCTTAAATGCAGCAGGTTGACAAATATTCAATGTTTGAACACTGTTCGTTTGTGGATAAATGTATTCATAATGATTTGTGGGGATACAACGTCTTATATATGGTTTTGTAACCCTTTCCAGGCTGATAAATATCCACATTGTTGTTTAGCATTTGTCTTTGGTCATTTAGCCTAACTGTTGTAAGAAAGGTTGTGTTTATGTGATTTCTTGAGTCCAGTTTGTGTCTAGTGAAATTAAATTCAGCATTCCAAAAAAAAAGTGATTTATAATAGTAAATTTATTATTTAACATTTGAGTATTAGCAATTGACTCATAAGGTTTGGATAGGTTTCTATTCAAAACAAAATAAACACATTTTGACCCAGAAACGTTTGTGCAACACCCTGTAAGATGCCTTTTTCAGTAGAGTATGTCTAACCTATTTACCCTCATCTCACCTTTTTTGCTTTATTTTTTGTCCCACATTCCCTCTATTCTCTCTGGACCCTCGTGGCGAGGTCAAGAATGTTTCCAGAGTGTCTTCTCATGCAGAGTGACCATTATCTCTTACTGTTAGGGACATCCAATACCAAAGTCTGTCTAGGTGCTAACTCACTTTGCCAGTCCTCCTCCTCCCTCCTGCCATCCTTTACTTTTCCTCTTCACTCCCCTCTTCTCCCCTCTGAGTGCTTGGCCAGGCGACATGCTGTTAGTCAGCACCCTACTTTGAATGAAAAAGGCCTTTTAAAATTCATTAGGGGCTGAAGGCTCTGAGGGCCAGCCGGTCTGCCTGCCACATTCCTGCCGTTCCAACACAGAACAGCACAGAAGGAGCAGAGAGAACAGCCTTTTATTTGGGCCTTTTTATGGAGCAATTCTCCCCTCTCTTGCCCCTGGAACCCGTGGATATCGCATTCTGCTAAAGAGGACCATCAGTCTGATAGAGCATGGTTCGCTTGGAAAAGGGAATTGAGAACACAACAATAGCATTCCTGAGGGTCATCCTAGCCTCCCTGGACCAGACAACAGAGTCCCACGCTCCAGTATAATGGGGATGCAGCATTCCTCTCAGACTCAAACACAAAGGGATTAACCTACTTGAATGACTGTTAGCTGTCACTGTTAGCCAA